GTTTTAATTAAATAATCACTTTTTATTTGACTTTAAATACAACTCCCTCCATATCTAAAAACTCAAACTTTACGGATTCAAAATATTGATATTTTAAAATTTTAAATTTAAAATTTTTAAAATTAAAAAATTAAAATTAAAAATTTAAACCAAAAGTTAGATACATTAATCAGAAATAGAAAAAAAATACATATAATAAATTTTAATCTTGAAATGGCAACTTATCATAGGCTTTTTTGGCTCAACCCGCTTCCTTGTGCAACATAAAGCATACTTAAATTTTGTTCTAATCATATATAAAATTATTAATAATATGTATAATTTCAAATTTGGTAGTCAAGCTAGGAGTTGAAATAAATCACCTATATGACTATTAGTTACTAATGTTTACTGCTATATTAGGATCATAAGTAGGAACATATGTATGCCACTAAATTAAAAGCACAAGAAAAAAATTACTATTAGTGTAGGAAAAGCTAGGAGGCCACTTATTAAATAAAATTTGTCAGCCATCATTGAAACTAATAATTATTCTTTATTCTTTATTTTATTTTATGTTCTTTGAGGAATAAAGATGACCAGTTAAAGTTTAGAGAAAATATTTAAAAACACAAAATCTAAGTAAAAATCAAATGAATTAGCCTAAATTAAGAATTGAAGAGAATCGACTAAATATTTAATTTAGTATTTTAAATTAGAGTAATATTATTTAGTTTCAAATAGAGAGAGAGCTTGAGAGGCTGCCATTATAGTCGATGAAAGAATTTTTAAACGACTTCGGTCTATTTTCTAATAAGTTTTCACCCTTTTTACAAAATTTCTTCTATTTATACCCACATATTTTGATTAAAAATTAATTTAATCATTTATAAGAATATGTGCCATAAATAATTGTTGAAACCAACTTCTAGATTGCTTTGAAAATCAACTAACTTTAAGATTTATGAATCTTTATGTATTTTTTTCTTATTTATTATTTTGCTACATCCCCACCATTATCCCAAAACCCTAAAACACTTTACATCTCAAAAAAATTAAAAAAAAGAAAAAAAAAAGGGAAAGAGAGAAAAAAAAAAGAAAAAGAGCCCTACCATTTCCATAAAATCAAAATTTATATTATCCACCTATTTTGATAAGCATGTATAAAAAAAATTGTAATCGCATATGCAATTGATCTGAAGTTAACTCCATTATTTAAAAAAAATTCAAAACTCATTTCTCAAAATCCTCATAAAATCTATCCTTCTACTATGATAAAATTTTAAATTGAAATCAATCCATAAATTTTAAGTTATTTTCCTAGCCTTTCACCGAAGCATTTTCCTGTCTCACAGAGAGAGAGAGAGAGAGAGGGAGAGTGAGAGAGAGAGAGTGAGAGAGAGAGAGAGAGAGAGAGAAACTATACTATCCAAACAAACATGATGATCACTACAAGGAACAAACCTAACTCGAAATCTCTCCCTAAGGCTTACCATATATAAAAAAATTTATTGTTGTAAGAGGAGATCTGATGCTTTGTCGATAAAAATTTTTAAATTGATAATGAATTTCTACTAAAGAAATTTAAGATATTGATAGATTATGTTGGAAATTCTAAGATTAATTCTCTAAGTAACGAAGACCAAAATATTAAAGCCAGTTCTATCTTAAAATTCACCCCACCCTTCAGAAACATGAGAGTTTGATATAGATGTTTTTAAAAATATAAAATTTAAAGTTATATTTTCTTGATGTTTACTTATAATCAAGAAATTTTAAGCATGATTTTTTCATTATTTTAAAAAAATTATTACATAATGGTTGAAGACTAATTTTTTTTCTTACTCTTACATTTTTCATTATTGCATAAACATACTTAATTTTTGCATAATAATTCACTGTGGTCCTCCCCTCAACATAAAATTCTATTAGTTAATTACTATTTAAATCATTAAGTATTCTTTTATCCATCTTTTTATCATGTTATTTTCATATTTATAAAATAACCTCTTTACATATTGTCTATTTACAATCACACATCTCTTTGGCTCACAATATAACCTAATATTAAGCCAAAAATTGAAATTAAAACATTTCATGGTAACATGAAAGAATTATTAGATTGGTTAAACAATTACATGATTTTCTTATTACTAAAATTTAAATGGCTATCAAAGTATTACCTTTGTAAAACTATAAAAGATGGGAAAGAAAAAAAAAATTATTTGAAATATAGAACAACCATTTCAAGAAAAAAAAAAAACAAACATAAGTATAAATAAAAGAAGTTAAATTTAAATATTGATTAAGACATCCTAGAACCTATAACCATAAGATAGTCCACATATCTTCTAAAAATATTTTTCTACTTTTGAAGGAAGAAAATCAAAAACTTCAGAGCTTACTTAGCACACAAAGATTAAACTCATATGTTATTATCAAGTTCAATCATACAAGGGAAAAGTTTAATAATCTTGATAAATTATTAAGATAAGACCTTTAGGACGGTCTTGAACCTCTCCCTAATCACATAAAAAATGAATTATTTCAATTAAATAGGTTTGGTTCAATTACTAATTCATTTATCTTAGATATTTATTCTATTGAGCTACAACACCCACCTTAGAGTGTGTTTGGAGCAGCAGCGTGGTGGCAGTGTGGTCACCGTACTTTTTTGTGTTTGAAAAAACTATTGTTTGATTTATTTTTTAAGAAGCCACAGTAGAAGGTTGTGTTATGCAACCTAACAACACATAGTGCGGTGACTGCTAGAAAGTCGCGGTCTGACTTTTAAAAAAATTAAAAATGTAATAACTACCATACTTCTTAAATAACTTCTTCTACAGAGCTTAACAGTTGTTTGAAGTTCTTCAAACAACTACAACAGTGTAAAACAGACCATTACTCTAGTATCCATGTTAAAAAGCTTTTTATTGTGCCTCTTCCTATTAGAAGTCATATACCTATCATGCACTTAGAGCCTTTTAGTCAATTAACTATATAATTTCTTAGTGATCTCACTAATGAGCATCTTATGACATTTTTTATGCTCATAACTAATGTGGTCTCATATCATCAATATAAACGTTATGATCAAGTATCTAATCAAGCTTATTAAGACTTCTCTTTTTTTGAGTTACATGAGTATGATATGGCTGCACATCTCAAACTTATCTTTTATAATTTTAGAGATACTTGATTAGAGTTCTCTCCTTGACATATATAACATACTATTTCTCATGATGTATATTTATTTTGTTGTGATCTCAGATCTCTAATCCATTTTATTTGAAACAAACATTATGAAGTTCAAAGATGAGTTATCAACTTTGAACAACATATAATTTGATTTAGATATTATTTAAAGACCACCACTATCATATTTAACTCACTTATTGAGTATTCAGATATTTATTTTAATATTTATGGTTTGATCCGAATGCTTTTTTACATAATTGTTATTCATTATATAATACTATACTTTTTAAGCATCTCATGTACAATATTTATTTATATATGTTAGAATGAGATGACATAAGTAATGATAATATAGTTAAAATTACTTTTCAAAAATATTCATTTTAGAAATACAATAATGATGATTAAATTTTAATTTTCACTCAATTTCTTTCTATGAATTCATTAATTCTACATGATGATCATAACCTTTTGGTTACTGCTTAAATTTTGGTTTTACCTCTTAATAATATTTTTTACATATATATTTTATTTCATATAATATTTTATAATATAAAGGGTTTAATAAGCACCATGGTATGCTTACTCAACCACTACTAGGATACATAAGCCCATTTTTTTAATTATTGCCATTATTAATTATCTTAACATCCTATGCATAGATTAAACTGTCTTGATCAGAGCTCATTACTTGGAAAAAAGAAAGTCTCTCACCAAATCAACTCTAAAGCTCATTATTATGATAAATAGTTATACAACATATTATTTTCTTTTAAAAATAGAGTTGACTAAAAAAAGGTTGACTAAATGGAGCCCGAAGGGAAATTTTAAAGTTAAAAACTTAGTTTTAAAACCATGTAAATTAATCTTAATTAAAAGTTTAGGAGAACTAATCTTTGTAATAAAAGTTTCCCACGGCTCCATCAACATCCCAAAGCTTCAAACCACCTCATATCTCATATAAAGTTAAAACCCATTCACAAAACCCTGGCTCTGTCGTCCAACAAATTCCTTACTCCTCAATCACATATTTATCATATTTTATTAGCTATGCCTTAGGTTGCTTTAGGCCAACATAAAAATACACCCTATCGGTCTTATGTTTAGCCATTACTCATCAAATATGGATATTGCTACTTGTAAATTTGAACTAGACATTTAAATGTAGTTATAATTAAAAATATTATATATTTTCAAGTCAACTAGCCATCAATATTAATTTTAAAATTACTCAAGTATTACTTGAACAACCCCAACTAATGTTAAAATTTCATAAAATTTTAACATCTAATTTTCGTGGTAACAATACCCATTTTGTGGAGCGCAATCTAAGAGAATATTTTCCATACAGAGTCTGCGGACGCAGCTCTACCTGCATACTACAATAATATGCCACCACGCGTGCTACATCGCGGAGATTATTGGGGGTTATTGAAGTGGAACATGGAGGTTATTGCAAGGAGGTTATTGACGTGGAACCACATAGATTATTAGGGGGTTATTTAAGTGGAACTGCAGAGGCTATTGGAGGTTATTGGAGGGTTATTGCGGGGTTATTGGAGTTAATACCCAATAACCCCCCAATAACCTCCGCGGTTTCACTTTAATATTTTTTTAGGTGAGTCTGGTATAGCATATATGGCGGCATATTATTGGAGTCCGAAAGCAGAACTGCATCCAGACTCCGTATGAAAAAATCCTCCCGCAATCAAGGCCAAATAAAATCCATCCATCAGTCCTTTGCATGCAAAACCATCACAAGTCCTGCTTATCTAAAAAGTATAAAAGATAATAATATGAAAATAGCTGTTATAATCATAATAAAAACAATCACAAACTCTATTCAGAAAAATCATACACAATTCAGTTATTTGCAGGCACTCAGGGTGAAAAAATGGAAGCATGCTATTATTTTTTTCCACAACTACGGTTTAGTTCTTTAGCAACAATGGAAAAGAAGAAATGATTGATCAGTTAGAAACCATACTCTCTGTTTCCTTCACAAATCCATCACCTGTCCAATCTTTATCAGACTGCAGGCCCTTCCTAACAGCTTTCCGCTGGTTGATTGCCTCTTGCTGTCTTCGAACAAGTTCAGTGTGTGTTGTAAAATACTGAAGAGAAACTCTGATGCAAAGAGAAAAACCCACAGAAATATTTTTTTTTTTCAATTGAACAGATTTTAAAGCACATAGAAAAAGATTAAATTGCTAAAATGGCCCTCTGACTATTTATATATGAGACCGTTTCAGTGTAAGTGTCTATAAAAATGTCAAATTAGTCCCTATATTTTTTAAATGAGCGATGAAATAATATTGTGTAAAGTTGGGGACTAAATTGACATTTTCATAGACTTTGAGAATAAAATGATCTCTCTGCAAAAAATTAGGGACCATTTTGACACCTTTAGAATGAATTTAAATTAGATAAATCTGAGGAAAAGTGTACCCTCTAAATTCCTCTATTGAAGAAAAATTGTGTTTTCTCATGAACTCCTTGAGATCATCACAGAGTTTCTTTACAAGACCATAGCCATGCATCATCACCCCCGTGCAAACCTATGTTGGTTAGGAAAATATGAGCCGAAGGGTTAGAAACAGATATGCCATGGATGCTACTATAAAGGAACAGAGATGAAAATCAAAATGAAAAGGGTTTCTTTTAATATTGAGTGCTATAAGATGATGGTATATGTCAAATTCTCAAGAGATGGTCAACAAAAAAAATTGGAACAAATGAACCCTGACATGATAAGACAGATATTTGTGAATCCAGAAAAGCTGTATTAAATTCAAGAGATTACTCATCCTAGAAGGAAGCCATAACAATATCTATAGCTTACATAAATCCTGGCGGAACCAGCTTCATTTTTTGAGGGCAGCCAAAACTAACTGTTTAATATTTTTAAATATTATATATCTACATATCTAACACATAAACTTCCATATTTAGATAAATGTCATTCAAATCTTTGACAATACATAAAAAATATCACTATTACAAAATTTTAGAAGTGAAATACACCTTCTCATGCATAGTTTTTAATAGCGAAGTGTTACTATTGTAAATATCAAACTTTAGGTGTTAGATATGTAAATACATAAGAATTGTTTGGTATGTATGTAAATTTTCCTCTTTAATATTGTGGAAAAAAATTTATTGAAATGACATTTGTGAATTGGCTAAATTATGAATTGGCTAAATTATTCAGAAGAAAATTACTAAATATTCTAACATAAATAAGAAAATCTAAAATTCCAGGGTGGGCTTAATCTAGTTCCACCAGTTAAAATAAATGTACAAACACAAACATTTCCAATGCAAAAGTATTCATTCACAGATTATTTATTTATTTTTGTCTACGTTGCCCATGCTGGCTGCTGCTTTGCATGGGGATCCTGATTGTTTGGGCATAAACAAGCTAGGTGCCATGAGCAACACAGCATTCTTAGCCCCTTGACAATAGTCCTGACTGCAATAATTCTCCTAAACAGAGCATATGGTTAGCGAGTTCTTAAAGCCATAGCTGAGTAACTTAGGGTCTGCGGGGCGTTTTCAAAACGCCGGCAAATATGTTTGTTTCGTGCGTCTGAATTACGTTTCAGAATAAGCTGAATCCTATTTCTATTAAATGCAGACCGCGGGTTCGACCTCGCGGTCCGCGTTCGGAGAAAAACTTTTACTCGTCTACCCCTCTCACGATTGCCCACATCCCGTGGATTCACCCTAGAGCCACTTCGATCCGCTCCTCTGCCCTCTGCCCTCATTCCGTGTTTTCGATCGCTCCCCTTCTCCCTCTCATGCGTCTCTCTTGATCGCAAGGTTTCTGGGCAGAAGGGGGACGTACGCGAAAGTTTGGCGTAAATGATGAAGATGGTGAAGGCGAAGGGGAAGGGCTGGGGAAAGGGGAACCTGGCGAGGGTTTCAGGCAGTAAGGAGTTCATTACATTGATCCCCTTCTACTAGTTTTGCCCAGGTGCTGAAGGTGCTGAAGGTGCTGAAGGTGCTGAAGGAAGCGGCGGGGCGATGCATTCGATGCGGCAGAATAGTCGATCTGGTAGATTGCAAAAAGTTAGTTAAGCTCTTCTTTGTCCCCGTGTGGCGATGGTAGGGCAAACAATCAGTATTCTTTTGCCGCAACTGCTCACTCCCCACAACCACTAACGGGAATTCCAAATCTGTAATATTCAACTTTTGTGTGTGAAATATGTAAATTAGAAGGCTTCACGTAAAAGCCTTTCCTATTTCAGTTAGATGCTTTGGAATTTTCAATGAAATGTTCCTTCTGAGTAATGATATCTGTATTACAATTTGTAAGCTATCCATTCTTTTGCAAATTTGTTCTATATATATTTTCTTAGATCATGGAAAATGCTTTGTTTGGATTCTATTTTAGATGAAGTCAGAATAAAAAATCTGTCCTGTTATGAAATTATAAATTTGTCATGCAACAAATATATATATATGTGTCTGTATTTTGTGCTAATTGTCTAATAAAGTAAGGGTTATAAGAAGTTCTTCACTTCAGTTCCTTCAGCTCCTGCATATTTTCTTCTACTTGAGTTTAACTTTTTCTTAAATTTCATTCAATTTATTTTAAAATTATTGTAAAATATAAATTACTTTATTACAATTTATGTTACACAAAATTTAAAAATAAATTTTTTCAAAAATAAATTTTATAATGTGTAAACGGTCTTTTATCAACCAAAAACCTGTAAATAAGCTGCTTTTCAAACGCACAATCCAAGCAGCTAACAGCTTATCCAGAACAGGGGCGGAATGATCATTTATCCAGAATCAGTTATTTTCGAAACGCACAAACTAAACAGCCAGCCAGCTGATTATCGATAGATTATCAGGATAAGCTGCAGCTGCCCCAAACAGACCCTTAACCAGACAAACTGACCATTTGAGACCAACATAATAGGAAGATATAAATACAAACCACTCCATTCTTATGTTTTTACATATCTAACAACTAATCATCAATTTTTACATACATACCACCTACTTAGATGTATTTTACTTTCAAAAATTTAAAATGATAGTATTTTTGATGTGATATGAAAGATTTGAGTATTATAAATGTAAAAGGTAAAGCTTAGCTGTCAGATATGTAAAAACATAGGAATTGGGTGGTAAGTATGTAAATGACCCAATATTCTAATGGCATGAACATTTTTTTCTACCTTTCTAAGTCTCAGACACATATAAGATGGTGGGAGAGATGAACAGGATACACTTCTCTCAAGGTCCCAAATCACACATAATTACCAAGAAATAAAAGGTAAGATAGCCCATGAGCATTCACCAGTATGTCTCAAGAGAACAATTTACTCTCAATCAGCTCCCCACCGTAATAGTTATTGCCAACACTTCAATCTCTAAAGCAATTGCATATAATATCACAAGCCATAAATGGCCATAAACATAGATTTAGATTGACAAATATACCTATGATATTTTGGATCAAATATTATGGATTTGTATACTAAAAATAATGCAAATGTATTTTGTGGAATTATGAGTTTCTATTTCAGATTTATTCTCGATACATTACTTTCTTATTATGTAGTATTTCTTTTCTTTTTTAATTATTGTGTCTTTGGTAAGTTGTAATGGTAAGAATTACGTTTACCCTACCTTTACTTATTATATAAGGAGAAGTGTTGTAATTTAATTATAAAGAAATAAGATAATACAATTTACTCCAACTTCATACATGGCAATAGTGCGTGGAACAAATTTTAGCTTCTTCTAACTGCCGGAACTTCTCCAACAGCCGTCAGACCCTCCCCAACTCTTTCTTGCAGCCAGAATTCTCGCTGCAGGCCTCTTCTCTATTTTCTTTACCACTGGATTCTCCCTGCAGCCGGAATCTTCTCTGCTGTAGGCCCTCCTTTGCCAGATTCTTCCTGCAAGCTTTCCCCTGCTTTCATCTTCGCCGCACGATCCTCCGTGCAACCAGAATCCTCCTTACTGCAGGCCCTCCCTGGATCACTTTGCTGCCACTGGACCTCACCTGCTTCCTACTGCTGCCATAAGACGCTTGCTCTGTTTCTCACGGTTCTCCGCTCTCTTGTTCGTGCTTGTAGACAGCGAGCGGTTGAGTTCCAGTAGATAGCGAGCTAAGTTGAATGGTTTTCATGGGAAGTAATGGTCGCAAGCCACTTAATAGCGTAGACCACTTCCAATGTTTCAGCCAAAGCCTTTTTGGTCTTGGTGATTGTCCGCCACTCGGTGCTTTGACTTATATGCTTCCCCCCGATGTCATAGAGTTGAAGATTGTTGTGCAGCATATGGAGATTGAACTGTGTCACTAAATTCTCTTGTGAATTTCAATTGGGGGATTCAGGGAAGTTGATTGACCGTGTCAAATTGAACCAAGATCTATACCTGCTCAAGGAAAGCTATTCTATTAACACACAAGTGTCTTCTTCACTATCCCCTTCCCATGTTCCCGAGTTTGTTGTGTCTGAGTCTATTAAAAGTCAAATTTTATTATGATATTGCCATCAGAGTCATCATAATTTTTATTATATTATCAAGATCTACCCACATATTTTTATTAATAAAAAATCAAAGCTTAATCATTGCGAAACTTGCCAATTAGCTAAACATACTCATCATTTTTATCCTTTGTCCTAGTACAAACCCTTACAACCTTTCTCTATCATCCATAGAATTGAAGCTTGTTGTGCAACATATGGAGATTGAACCGTGTCACTAAATTCTACTATATTTCTTGTGAATCTCAGTCGGGGGATTCAGAGAAGGTGATTGTCAGTATTAAATTGCATCAAATCTGTACTTGTTCAAGAAAAGCTATTCTTTTAACACATAAGTGTCTTCTTCACCATCCCCTTCCCATATTCCCGAGCATGCTGTGTCTGAGTCTATTAAAAGTCAAATTTTATTATGATATTGCGATCAAAATCATCACAATTTTTATTATATTATAAAGTTGTACCCACATATCTTTATTAGATAAATATCAAAGTTTAATCAGTGTGAAACTTGTCAATTGGCTAAAAATACTCGTCATATTTATCCTCTGTCCCAATAAAAACCCTCGCATCCTTTTGCTATCATCCATAGTGACATTTGAGGATCATCAAGAGTGAAAACCGTCAAAAGAGACATATAGTTTCTCTCCTTTATTGATGATCATACTAAAGCAAGTTGGATATTCCACATGAAAGAAAAATCCTAAATTATACAAATCTTTCAGCCTTCCATAACATAATTTCCGCAAAATTCCAAAGGAAAATTAAGATTCTCAAGATTGATAATGCAAAGGAATACTTCAACTCTATCTTTGGACCCTACCGTGTTGAAACTCCACAATAAAATAAGATAATTGAGAGGAAGAATAAATATCTCATTGAAGTATTTTGGTTTATAATGCTTTCTCGCAAAATTTCAAAAATTTTCTGGGTAAAAGTAGTGTTCACAACCACCTACCTCATTAATAGAATGTCAAGTAAAAATCCTTAGATTCAAAGCCCCTCTCGATAATGTGATAAAAAATACCCAGCCATCTCATCCAATCTTTCCCTAAAAATATTTAGGTGTATTTTTCGTTCACATTCAACAACCAAACCACACAAAGCTTGACCCAAAATTCATCAAATGTATCTTCCTTAGGTATACTTCTAACAAAAAGGAGAATAAGCTCCATTCTCCCATTACAAAGAAATACTATAACTCCATGGATGTTACATTCTTTGAAAACCAACCCTACTACCAAATCTGATATTCAGGGACAGAGTTGGGGTGAATATTAGACTTGAGAAACTACTCTGGATACCCACACTAACTGACAGTCATTACGACTTATTCTACTTTCCTAGACTACACTGGATACCCACACTGATCTAGAGTCTTCACAACCTATTCTCCTTCCCTCTAACAATCCTATCTCCCAAATTCCAACAGTTGAGAACATCCAACTTGAGATTTACAAGGAACTTCGTCTGTATACTAGAAGAAATAAATCCATTGAGCAGAATAAAGACAATATACAACCACATGATAGTTCACAAACAAACCTGAATTCACACATCTTCAAAATTCCAAGGGAGGTGGAATTCAATGGAAAAGATAGGGATAGTTGCACAAATTGTCCTATCTAGAATTATGTTGATTATGAGACATTATCATCAACTTCTAAAGCTTTCGTATCCAATCTTAAGAGTGTGCAGATATCAAGTCTATTTATTAAACACTTTCAAAGTCCAAAATGGAAAAAGTCAAAATGAAGAAGAGATCCAAGCATTTGATCTAAATGGCACATGGACCCTTATAAATCTTCCTCAAGATAAAGGACCAGTTGGATGCAAATGAGTGTTTAATGTCAAGTACAAAGCAGATGAGAGGTTAAGGCTAGATTGGTTGCTAACAAGTTTCATTTAGTTTTATGGGATAGATAATCAAGAGACTTTTAATCTAGCAGCCAAGTTAAATAACATAAGAGTTTTTTTCCTTGATAGTGCATAAAGAGTGAGAACTACATCAACTTGATATCAATAATGCATTTTTGAAAGGAGATATTGAAGAAGTGCATATGGGATCGCACCAGGTCTGAAAAATGACTAAAATAAATATTATATTTGTAAACTAAGAAAGCCATTTTATGACCTCAAACAATTTTCAGTGCTTGATTTGACAAGTTTGCTAAGTCTATGAAATTCAATGAGTACATTAGATGCCAAGTGCATTATACATTGTTCATAAAATATACACAGAGAGGTACGCAAACTATACTCATTATCTATGTAAATGATATGACCCTGACAAGTGATGCTGAAAAAGATATTTGGAAGATTAAAGAGGTTCTTTCTATTGAATTTGAAATTAAGAATCTAGGACCGATGAGATACTTTATGGGCATTGAAGTGGCCAGGTCGAAGATGGGTATTGCGATTTCCAAAAGAAGGTACATCCTACACCTATTAAAAGAAACATGACTGTTGGGGTGCAAAGCTGTTGAGACTCCTATGGATTTCAAGAAAATGCTATAATCATGAGAAGAAAAGACACCAGTGGAAAAAGACATATCAAAGATTGGCAGGTAAGCTTATCTACTTGTCACACACTAGACCTAATATTGTTTACTCTATTGGCACAGTGAGTCAACACATGAACAGTCCAAATGAAGAATATTTCGAGATGGTTTACAAAATATTGAAGTTCTTAAGAAGACCCCTAGCAGAGCGTTATTATTTAAGAAATCAGACAACAGAGGTAAAGATTATCACTGATGCTAGCTGAGTGGGAGGACTCGAGGACAGAAGATCCACCTCTGGGTACTGTTTCAATGTTAGGGGAGATCTTGTCACCTGGAGTTGAGAAACAAATAGTGATCATTAGAAGTAGTGCAAAATCTGAGTACCGGGCAATTGATTTGAAAATTTGTGAAGGAATGAAGATCCAAAGGTTACCAAATGAGTTGAGATACTCGACTATCAATCCCATAAAGATGATCTGTGACAAACAAATTGTCATTAATATTGCAAAGAATCATGTGCATCATATCATGACATGAGTAAACAAATTGAGATTTATAAATATTTTATCTCTGAGAAGGTCAATGGAGACATTATTCAGTTAATTTACATTTCAACTCATCTTCAAGTTGTCGATGTCTTCACTAAATCACTACCTCCAGGCAACCTCACTGATTTGAATATCAAATTGAGTCTTTACAACATCTATGACCCAATTGAGGGGGAATGGAATTGAGTTTCCTATTTTAGATTTATTGTCGATTTATTCCTTTCTTATTATGTTGTATTTCTTCTCATTTTTAGTTGTGGTGTGTTTGGTAAGTTGAAATAGTAGGAATTCAGTTTACCCTAGCCTTTACTTATAGTATAAGGAGAAGAGTTGTAAATTGAATATTAAGAAATAATAGAATGCAATTTTCTCCATCTTTCTACAGTATTAAATAAAGGCCTACCTGAACTGTATTTGCCCCAATCAGTATAAATTCAGCAGCATCATTGCCAGTTTCTACACCTCCAATGCCAGACAAAGAATATTCTTTATCATTAAATTCTGATTTTATCATCTGTGCAATTTGCATTACTTTCCCGAGTGCAATGGGATGGACAGCCTTGGAAGAATAACCCCCCGGTGTTGAGTACCTGAAAAAAATATAAGCTCAGTAAAATAAAGGGTCTTTTTAAGCAAGCAATTGAGATTCTCACTGGAGGACACCAACCCCTCAACACAAGGTTCTGGACGTAATGTATTCAGATCAATCCCCATTACGCTCATGATGGTGTTGATAGCTGCAACCCCTTCACAGCTAGATTTCAGAGCAACTCTAGCAGGCTGAACAAACAACACAAGTAACTTAAATAAATGCCATAAAGAAATAAAAAATAAAAAAAATTAAAATACTTGCCATAGAGAAAAGGAAGAAATAAGTTCTTAAGCAATCTTCTAAAGGAAGACTTAAAGACAAAAGAAGTTTGGAACAACTTTCTCCACTAAGAAATTTTTCTTCGTTTTTTACTTCTATTAAGTATTCATCTCTCACAAAGCTTCAACTCTCTCTTTAGATAAAGCATTGAAAACATAGACGGATAAATATTCAGTTGCATGGGTAATTTTGAAAGTCAATTACCACCCGAGAATGAACCCTTCATCAGTTTCCCTTAAAATATTTCTCCTCATAAGGATGCTTCAACTAGTAAGAGAATATGTCCATGGTATCCAACTATATTTCAGCTTGATATCTAGCATAACAAACAAAGGGTATTTTCTAACTGTTCAAAATACGAAGAGCAATCTAAGTACGTCTTTCTGTCAAGCAAGTTGGAAGTATAATTAGCATAAGGACATTTCCATGTATGAGCTTGGTGTACTTCGGCTCATTTATATTCTTAAACTGCTTTCTATGAGTATTTTCTATGTGTAATTAGCAAAAGACATCTCAGAAAAGGATTGGCTGCTTACACAGCAGGAGTAAGATCATGCAACAGCACCATGGCCATAAAGCCTTCAAGAAGGCATGGTATTAAGCATCTTCAGATTATGAAGCTGTAGTGCATGCCTAATTAATCAGAAAGAGAAGTTAACAACACCAAAATGAAGATGTGGAAAGGAAGAGTCGTGAATGCTTTGGTCTTATAACATTCATACGTCATAGCAGATCATCTACAACGATTCAAGAAAAAGCACTAGGTGCATACCTTTAGTCAAGTGAAATATCACATATGCCACCACTCTACAGGAATGAACTTCCAGCAATACAAACAGCTAAACCAAAATAAGGCAGTTTTGCTTTTGTTAAATTACACATAAGCAGGTAATTGAGGTGTAAGAGGAACTTCCTGTTAGATTACATTTTTATAATCCATTTTATGTTGATACTTCCGCTAACACAAGCACTAAAAAATTAAAATGCCAAAAGTGCACTATACTTTTTTTCTACCTCTTCTTTGTCCCTCCATCAAACCTCAGAACCCTTTTCACAAGCTCTCTTAAATCCCATCACCTCATTGACAATAGGAGGCGGTGTGATTGAGCTCCTTGAATGGGGGATCAGAGTGACGATCCTTGTGCGATCTTTCACTGCATATGTGATTAGCAGGTGCAGCTCTTGCACAAGCTTGCACAGATAAGATGTTATTAGAAGGGAGAGCTTCTGAGCAAAGGCAGCTTCTACGATCTCTCTCCCACAACAATGAAAACAGTCTAAACTGATACTCATTAAATGATCATATATTGTGAAGGTCAGGCTTCGTTTAGCAATGCTATACCATTGCTGTTGAATTTTAGAGAAACAAATTCGCTTGGTTTTTAGGATCTCTAAAGAAAATCTTTCCCATTTGTAATGAAGCCATAGGGAAAGCATCCAAAGCAACAAAAAGGTATTCCAAGAGGCAGTGATGAAGGCAGAAAGTTTTTCTACTAGGGACAAATTAATTTTAACATTTTTATCAAAATATTTCATTCAGGCACGGAATCAATATTGGCCGTATTTAATTTTTTTTTGTTATAATTTGTTAATATGAAAAGATAAAATACATGTCGATTAAAAAAAAATTATAATTTTTAACACCTAACCTTCATATTATGAAAGTGTTGAATGATTAGCTTATCATCGGTAATGTCCAATATTTCATTTGCAAAAGAAGTAAAAATAAAATGTTATATAAATAAATATCAAAATTTAAGTATCAAATATATAAATACATAAAAATTTAATATTATGTATATAAAACATCAAAAATATAATAGGCATTTTAAAAATTGTGTATCACAAATCATTTTGAATAATTGTAATGGAGGAATATTGAGATTTTAATTCATTTATAGAAAATGCTCAAATTTTTATTTAACAACAGGCTTCAAAATTTTTAAAATAAATAATCAGAATTTATTTTATTAAAATGAATTGTTTTTTAAAACAGAATTATTAAATTTTATTTGAGCAAAAATAAAAATGGCCTATAAAGACAAAAACTATTGTGTTATTAAAACTTAAAATATATTTTTAATTTCAGTTTTTGAAGTTGAATTTGCACACATATATGATAATTTAAGAATAGTTGGAAATGAAATGATTGTAATTTTTCTCCACCTTTTTTTAATTAAAAACATTTCTTTTTTCAAATTTTTTTCATGCAAACTAAAGCAGAGGTTTCATGCCTTACGGGAGTTTGTACCCTTTTGATTCGCTTATTGTTAAACCCCAACATGTCCTATGGCTATAGGAGTTACATGACATGCTAATATGTTAGATTAGAGGCTCATTTGTGGCGCTCACATCTCCTTGGACTTTACATATGTTACTTATTGAGCCTATCTGCGTAACAAATTATTACTTTAAAACTTGGAAAATAAATGCTAAATTAATAAAATTAGTAGATATTATGATTTATAGGATGATAAATATCTTGTGCATTAAGAAATAAAATAGGCAAGAGAAATACTAAGAAGATTGATAGTTTAGGTTTTAAATTTTGGTATTCAGGTAGAAGTCATACTAGAAATAGTGTGTACTTATAGCTAATAATTTGAAAGATAATGCTCTAAAAATTAATAGAAATGGAAATCAAATTATAGCTTTTAAAATTTTTGTTGATATTAAGGTTCTTAATATTATAAGTGTTTATGCACTTCAAATAGGTTTGAATATATGTTCAAAAGAAAATTTTGGAACGATTTAGAAGAATTAATACAAAGATATCTTATAAAAAAAATAATTTTTATTTGAGGAGATTTAAATAGACATGTTGGAAGAATGGTATAAAATTTTAGAAATATGCATTGTAGCTATGATTTTTGAGTGACTACAGAAGAAAGTGGTCATATTAAATTTTAATTTAGCTTATGATTTTATTATTATCGATAATTTATTTAAGAAAAGAGATGAACATATTATCACTTACAATAATGGATCTAATAAAATACAAATTGAATATTTTCTTATGAGAAAAATATATTGTCAAAATTGTGGATTGTGTAAAGTCATTCCAAGCAAAAATTTAAGTACCCAAAATTGATTATTGATTTTGGATTTTAAGATGAAGGATTGAAAGATGAAATAGTCAATGAAATATTATCATAGAATTAGATGAAAATACTTAAAAGACAAATAAAATTATTTTTATGAGTAAACTTCAAGATCATAAAATTTTGAGTTGTTCATGAAGAAGCTATTATAATGTGAAATAAAATGACCGGTACTATTAAGCAATTTGCAAAAGATGTGCTTAGAGAATCAAAAGAAAAATATCTTATGACTATAAATAATTGATGGAATAATCATATGCAAGAAAAGGTAAAAAATAAAATATTTTTTTATAAAAATTAGTTTAAATATAAGAACTTTGAGAATTGGGAAAATTATAAGGTAGCAAGTAGGGATAAAGCTAAAAATTTGTGATGCAAAGAATTTTATTCTTAATGACCCTTATAATAAATTAGATATTAAAAAAAGATGAGAGATATATGTATAAACTAGTCAAGCAAAGTGACAGGAAAAGTAAAGGTTCATTTATCAAGGATGAAAATTAATGGAAGCTAAGATTGGCAAAAAATCAGGTATGACAAGTAATTGCCAAAATAGAAAAATTAATGAAAGATCAAGTATGGAATATGGTTGTAACCATCATCCTATTAGTGTTAGTTGCTAATATTGATAAGTAATAGTCTGCCCCTACAACTTTATCATTTAGATTTTAATCTAGAGTTAATAGTTATGATTCATTTGATTACCTTAAATTTTATTAAATTTTACTTTTAAGTATTTCTTTTCTTAATTTTAATATAAATATTGTTTTATTATTTATCAAATTGAGTCATGGCACTAGAAGAAAAAAATGCAACTTGGAAATATGACAATTAAGTTGAAGTGCTTGGAGAAGGTGCAAACAAATGTTATATTTATTTGAAATATAATTTTTGTTACAAAAGAACTGAGGATGTTAAGAGATTGAATAATCGTTTAACTTGCACATATCTAAATGTTGAATAATATGAGCAAGTTTCAAGTTAATTAAAAAAAGAATATGCAGATTATTAAAAATACCACGATCTCAAAACAAGTAACTTAAGAAAATGTGAAAGAAATTATTGAGAATAGCTCTTACTTTGGTTCCCAAAAAGATAGTTCCAGGGATAGTTCCAGGAAGTAATTTATTATTATTATTATTATTTTGCTAGAAAAGCTCAACAATCAATAGATAGAATTGTTTTGAACTTTGAAGAAATTAAAATAAGTAACCCTAACAATTTCTCTTCTAGCTTCTACAAAAGAACACAAGAATATTGTATGTCTAGACTTGTATGATGCTTTTATGGCAACACAATTCCATTCAATGCAGCTAAGAGTCCATCATGGATCAATCTACATTGCTCTATCGGAAATTATGGTCACGAATTGGATATTCCTAAAATGTATGATCCTTGCACATGGATGTTGGATGAGAAGCTAAAAACAATGACATAGATAATTGATGAAGTGAAGAGGATGTGAGCTAAAATAAAATTTATAATAATATCAGATGATTGATTAGATATAAGACAAAGGAACATAATAATTGTTTTCCCCTAAAAACCCAAATGAAAATTTATATTTTAAATATATAGACACATTTGCATATTTTAAAAAAGCACAAATATTTGATGAGGTTATTGAGGAGGAAAGAGTATCATTATTCAGGTAGTGTCGATAATGCAAGTGCTTATAAGGTTGTAGGGGAGACATTCCTAGAAAAAATGTGGCATTTTTACTGATCTCCACATGGTAGTCATTGTCTTGATATGATACTTGTTAAGTCAGCAGTTACTACAACATAAATATACTTTGCTCAAAGCAA